CAGCAGGCAGCCGGCGCAGAAGACGTGGCCGCACGGCGTGCACAGCGGCTCGTCCAGCACCCGCGCGCACAGCCCGCACCGCAGCTCCGCCGCCACGGGCGCCGCGAAGCGCGCGGGGTCCAGCCCCATGGCCGCCCCCCCGACAGTGACCGAGCGGCCCGGCCGCGGCTCCGGCTCCGGCGCCGCTGGATCCGCTCCCGGCGGGAGGGCGGCGAGGGGCGGGCGGAGCAGCGCGGGGCTGAGCGTCCCGCCGCGGCCCTCCCGCATCGCCGCCCTCCCCGCGGCCGGCCCCGCCGCGGCTCCTCCGCCCTCCCGCCGCATCCTCCTCCCGCCGCCGCCGCGCGCGGTCCCCCTCGGGCAGAGGCACCAGCCTGCGGGCGCGGGAGGTTGGGTGGTTATTGAGTGCCGGGTGTTGCAGGTTGGGTGGTTATTGAGTGCCCAGGTGTTGCAGGTTGGGTGGTTATTGAGTGCCCAGCTGTTGCAGGTTGAGTGGTTATTGAACACCAGGGTGTTACAGATTAGGGGTAGGATGCTATCAGGAGCACCAGGTTGTCACTCGGGGGCTGTCTTGCCCTTGTGTGCCTGCCTCACAAACAAGGTACGTGCAGGTAGCCAAGGTGTGCGCATCCCCATGCTCAGCTTGGCTCTCAAGGGCAAGCCCTTCTGCATAGCTCTCCTGTGCTGGGTTGGGAGGGGGCACACAGGAAGCTCTTCTGAATTCCCTGGTGCTAAAGGTCTTTCTCTGTCTTTTTTATTTTTTCTGCCACATCAGAAATGAAAAGGAAGTGCAGTCTGGCTAGCAGAAGTGCTCACTGAGCTCCCTTAAACAGCCGCATATGTCTAAACAACACCTTCGTTTTAAGAAAAGCTGAAACACAGCAGAATCTGCAAATGTGTAATTAAGATCAGTAACCCGCCTGGATCCTGCCCCTGCCTAGCTGCGCAACCCACAACACTCTGAAACATGAAACCCCTCGCACATTCCCCACATAGCTTCACTGTTGAAAACCCAGAGCCAGATCGCTGCCCCCCAGCCCTGGAGAACCCCCTAGAAAGGCTGGAGCCCTCCAAGGGCCTTCATCAGTGCTCTCCTTCCCACTCGGACACTCGCCCTTTGGGAATGGCCTGCAGATTTGGCTGGAACAGGCCCAGATCAGGAGCTGTTTTCTGGACTTGAGGAGTGTTGAGTCAGAGCTGGCGTCTCCTTGGCGGCTCTGCAGCCCCTACATCCAACTCTGGCTCCTCTAGCAGCGTGTCCTCACAAAGCTTGGCAAGCTTGAAAGCACTGCTGGTTCTTCGCATGACAACAAAGGCAACGTGAGGGCAAAGTCACTGAGTGAAATAGTCATCCCTTTTTCCTCAAGCAAGCAGGAGATCTCTGCCCATACCTGCCCCTAGGGCCATAGCTGGGACTGCAGATCTTGGTTCCATCTATCCTTTTTGACAAAAGTTTTTCAGCAGCTTTTAACAATAATTTCATAACAACTGCCAGTGCCACACAGAACAGCTGTGGACCCATATATTGCCCTGCGTGGCACCAGCAACCTACCATTTCTGACTTGCTACAAAGAAAGCCATGTTTTTGCTCTGATTACCATGAATGCCACATAAATAAACAATATAGACTCTCAGCTTGGGGAAGAAACTCTCTGTAAGACATCGTAAGACATTTTACTGCACATCAAAACTGCATTGGCTCACACCAACAGAAGGAATAGGTCACCTGATGAAATCAAATATCCCAAGTAAATCATTATGATATTTTAATGTTTTTTAATCATCTAGTATTTCCATTGATTTTGATTGTGTTACCCTTCTGAATGATATAAGAAATGATTTTTAAAAAGTATTCTTTTTTATGTTTTTGCATTTGACTATTACCACTCATTATTTATTTATTTTATCTCTTCTGTCCAAATATAATTCCTGATGCATTTTCTTTATCATCTTGTATGTAGCCCAGCATCTCAGATCTGTCGTGGCAGCATCTACACCCCTAAATTAATCTGAGCAAAGGAGCGTACCCAAACACTGATGCTGACTCTCTTAAACTGTTACCATTTGGGATGGTTTTATGCCCACAAGCAGCCTCCCAAACAGGACTCAGGCAGGGATCAGTAGTGGCAGGGCCTATTCCCCCTTGATAATTAGGATGTGACCACTCTGCTTTGAGGTGTAAGAGCCCAGGTGTAAGAACACGAGTCCCTCTGGGTTCTGGGCCTATTTTATTTACATTACAAATGTAGCCAAGGGATGATGTGGTCTAGAAGTCTACAGTCTGAGAGAAACCTTGGAGCTTCTAGATTTTTTTTTTTTTTTTTACGGAGTTGCTTAGTTAAATTAAAGTTTGGGAATCTCATTGCAGGCCTCTTTTTACGATCA